TAATTATCTTGTTTTTGTCTCTATTGTCCCTTCCTGATTACATCACTTGCTACGCATGACCTATGGTTTCTGCCGTATATTACGTAACTTCATCCCGCTCTCTCGTCTTAGCTCACAACCTTCATTTCATCTGCTCATCTCTCGAACGTTTGTCTATTTGACCTTTGTGTTCTCACCCCCACCCACGACTATCTAATTAGCTTTGACATATTCTTTTGATCTGTTTGCTCGCCTCTGTCATCGTTATTAAATGAGCTCTAATCGGCCAATCAGACATCTGTATTGTGATCAGCTTATATATGTAAACGCCTGATGCGATATATCGAAAAGAAATTTCTTGGCGAATACCGTTTTCTACATATATGTTAGCCAAACAGTTACGTTCGTATGTGCATTTGTCTTCAGTGATGGTGCATGTTTGAGAAAAATGGTAGGATTGGAAAGACGGGAGCTGCTAATCACAATTGTTCAGAGGGATTAGTTTTAAAGAGTAGAGAAACATTAGAAATCATCGATATCTACAATTACATTCGTCATAGGAATGTAATGAATTGTTAATAGCAACGATAATGACGACCCGTAACTATTGGCGTTCTTATGTTGCACATAAGGCTTTGTTTCACATAGTAATCCGGAAAAACCATCATAGGGGAGACACAGAAGATGCGGCATCAGCTGGTGATGACCTGTTTGCATTCAAACCGGCCCGATCGGCGAACAGGTGAAACTAAACGAATGGATACTCAACAACTGAATGCATCGGTTACTATAAATTCAGTGAAAAGCTAATAACAATATCAATTTTGTCCACTCCGAATCGTGTGCATGAGCAAAACAAGGAAAGACAAAGTGATATATGCACAGAGTCACGTGACCACGACCACATTCGTGGTGTTTTCTTCAACGTGACCATGTGGTAGGTCAACAGTGAATCGTAATTCCTTTCTCGCAGCATTAGATACAAGTGTATTGTGGCATCCAGGTTACTTTAGGAGTTTCATCTGATTTTCTTGAACTGAATCCTGGTGAATAAATGGAAAGGTGAACCAAATGCGTTAAGCAGGAATAATGATTAAATCAACTGCCCAGGAGCGAAGCCTAACCGAGTGCACATACCCAATAGGATTTGTTTAAAATCATATTGTCGATTCGGAAACGCCTGGTCAGGCGTTTGATGAACGCGTCGGATTTTTTGCCACCGTTTGCATTCCATGGAACCACAGTGGTAGCACGCCCAGATATCTCGGGTTTGGTCTCAACCGCTCCGCGGGTAGAAGAATCATCGGACTGGTGACAGACAGGGTGAAAATGTGAGAAATCACCGGTAGGAACTAGTGTATATCACACAGATGAAATAAACCACTCTAGTCGAGATCAGAAAGCATGAATGGATCAGCCATTCTAAAATGCACTCATCTGCACAGTTCAGTGCAAGAAACGGATTTCTCCTCACCCATCGGTCACATATGATCGAGTGTTTCAAATCGCCTCTTCTGATGACTAATGCACAAACTGATAGGCTAGATGCACTCGGAGGCCTGTAAAGCCATACGGTTTGAATAACACAAATACGTTTAAAGATGACTATCATAAATGGGAGAAATAAGGATAGTATTCTACAGTTGTGCCGTTTGAAGAGGGGAAGAGGTGACAGAAAGTTGTGTGTCATCATTGCATAGCGAAATATAGTAACGCGAACTTAATCGATCACCACCAAACTCACAGTGCATACAAAGTTAGTAAAAATATGTGAGGTGGACAGGGATTGGAGGTATTTTACGGACGGGGAAGAAACAGAACCTCTAGCATTAACACAGTACGTAATGGAATGATCTATACACACTTTTAAAAGTATTCCGGCCTGTTGAGAAGTAACAGCAAGAACAATACACTAAATTTGTTGTCATATAGGTCAGTGTCTCCAACCAACCAGTTACAGCTTTTTGGAGCCGAACCTGGGAAACACCTGTTCCAGCTAATCGCTCTGTATATACGTCTTCATGCCTAGTCTCCACGTAATCTGCTGATCTCCACGTGAGTTCTTTCGACCTGGAGTAGCAACAGCAAACAAGGTGCGGTGCGTCAGACGACCGTTGGGTACACGCAACATGAATCCTAACTACCTAAGCCTACCAATTTTAAATAGGTGTGACGCCGAAGTCTCTATCGAATCAGTCACAAATACTCGTTGCTTTATCTCATTTTTAGTGGTTGGATAAGTCCAGGGAGGAAATATGGTAATTTTTGATCAGTGTGGGAACGGGATCCAGGGAATTGGTAGGGTTGCCAGAGCTGTTAGGAATACGAGTACGGAGATGAACCAGTTGTCAGTTGTTTAGTAGAACAAATAACGCGGCTGCACATTCAAATAGCAATATCCCTGCAGATTTCCCGGGATTATTAGGACAGGAATGGAGAAATATAGTACTCGATCTAATTTACTCTAATAGGGAATGTAGAGAGAAAATTCTGCTTTTTAGACAACTGCAGCTCAATCGGATGAAGAGTCGGCACACTTACAGATGTTAGTGATATTGAAACACTGCTAGCGCCGACTAGATACTTGTTTATCCGTTGACAACAAGCTGTGGGATCTCGATAATTAGATAGGGAAAAGTGGAATGAAAAATGTGTGAACTGGAGATGATATGAAATGTGTTAGTCCAGAGTGAATAAAACAGGTGTGAACGTTTGCGAAAAAGACAGTGAATGGGGAGTGGGGGTGGGGGAACGGGAGGGAGAGGATAGAAGGTGTCACATAGAGAGATATGGGTAAATGTTATTATGGCCATGGTAACATCAGGGCCTG